CCCCTGCAAAGTTCCCGCTCCTCGGCGCTAGCCCTCTTGAGGTCGCGCTTGATAAGTTGTTTCTTGTGTTTACCAGGCCCTGTCCTTTTAGAGCGATTGATCTTGCCGCCCCCATTGCGTTCAACCTTTCGAAGAGAATACCAGCCGCGAGTCCAGTGCCCAGCCCAAGCCTGGCCCAACCAGCATTGCATCGCATCTGGGGGGATGCGCTGGCGAGCCAATCCAGCCTCCGAGTAGCCGACAAGGCGCTGCATTTCGCCTCCTGGACATTCTTCTCGAGGTCGACCCACCTGAGGCGGGCGCCCCCGTAGACGCCCCCTCCTCGGGGGAGCGCCAGCTCTATTGGCCTGCCATGGAGGGGCCCTTGGCTTTCCCGCATCAGGAGGATGAGGGCGCCGAAGGCCGCTAGAGCGAGCGCCGCTGGAGCGCGCGCGCACGGCTGGGCGAGCGACCGGGGATCCGACCGCGACGCGCCAGACGAGCGCCATCTTCCCATTCTGCGTCATCGCCGTAGGCGCGATATTTGCGCCTCCACAACTGGCGGCTCGCCGATCGCCCCAGGCGGCTCGTGGAGCGGTCCGAAGCTACAAATGCACATTGAAATCCCCCACTGTGGCCAAGCTCACATTGAACGCGCTCTGACAGATCACTAACGTCTCGCGGGCTTCCCCGCAGAGGATCACCATCACTCAATTCCACGTTTGTCGGATTTACAATAACCCGAGGGTACAACATAAACTGCATTTCCTCTTCGGTCGCAGGAACAGTGGCTTCTGAATCCGCGGGTGCCCCCGCCATTTCGTCATCTCCTTCGGCGGGCACGTGGAAGTTCTCGACAAACTCAATATCTGCAGGTTGCCCCGCGATGGGTATGCCCAGCCAGTCTGCCAGATCAATACCATTGTGGCCAATGAATACCTCCTCGAACAGCTCGCTGGCGCAATTCTCGAAGGACACACTGGCGCTCAAATATCTGGCAGCCATGAAGTTCATAACTGCAACTAAGCTATCGGCAGGGTCGGCTAAAAGCGACTCCCAGTCAACATACTGCATGTCCGAGTCAGTCTGAGCCAGAAGCATCGACAGACCTCTGCCTCTCCCATCGCCCTGGGGGCATTCGCGGCGAAAGTGCTGTGTGCTATGGCATATGTCGCACTCCATAGTTTTGCCATTGACATCCTTCGGGTTCCCCCTACGCCCCTCACCTGTTCCTGATGCATGCCTACGATTCTTGCCTGCACCCAAGAAAATATCTTCATATCGTGGCCCGGTAAGGGATGCTAGGCATGCTAATATGCCTCTGCCATGCAATCGCCGACGCTTACCTTTACCCTTACTTCGACCCTTGCCTTTTCCTTTGAGTGCTCGTCGGACGATACGCCGTTCCCTGCGAACTGGCTTCTTCATAAATCGCCTCCATCTGCGCTAATGTTTCTGGTATCCTAAGGATAACCATTGCGCCGGTTGCTCTTCCGCGAGGTATGTAAGCATATCGGAGTAGTCAAGGGCCGTGGTCTCGTCGCCCGAAGACGCATCGGCGTCAGTACCGGAGTCGAAGTCGGACTCGGCAGGATGCCCCGCTGAGCCCATTAGGGCTGCGGCTTGCGCGGGGGATACCGCGTCGGGCGGCCCCCGAAATCTGGCCCGGGAGTCTTGCGACTCCGAGGCCGATCCACCATTCTGAGCCAGTAGCGTAGTGGTCTCAGTTGGTTGTGGATCGTCACTCCAGACGTTCTTTGCAGGTTGCCCTGCGTTTGCTTCAGCGTGGAAGGTCTCGGCTCGGTGACCGCGACTGAAGATACCACCAATATTGCCAGGGGTTCCCCCAGCAATGTGCGCATATGATCTCATGCGTTCTAGTAGAGCGTCAAATTGTCGCTGGCCTCTCGGCACGCGGTGGTTTAGCGGCTGCAGGAGTGGCCACGCACGCGATGCCCCCACTCCAAGAGCTCTGAATAAGATAACTGCTCAGACTTGGAAGTTGGGGATGTTAAAGCCTGCCGTTTCAGCTTCATGGCGGGCTACTTCGAAGCGTGCCAAAGTCTGGTCGAGCCGTTATCCCGCATGGAGTCGGAAGTCAATGAGAGCCGTGCCAGAGTTGAATTGGCACTCCTCTTCTAAATTCTCGAACTTCGTGCTTAAAAGGAACATGATGCAGGTGGCGCCGAGGGTATGGCGGCTACCTATGTTAACGCCAAAATTGATAACTGCTGGGGGGCTCTCATGGCTATGGTCCGCGCGA